CACTAATAGCTACAATTAATAGCTTGCCATGTGTCATGCTTCGTTTATATTCTCTCAATTAATTCTCACAGAAACTCCTTGGGAACACTAATCCCACTTTATTAATGAAGTCTCAGGCAGTGAAGGCAGAAAGAGATGGCTCCTATGTCTTGGTTTAAAGAAAAAGATCTTTTTCAAGCCAGGAGTCAGGAGAGGTGGTATATTAGTGTTTGTTATATTATTCTTTATACTTCTATGTTTCCACAACTAATTTTTTCCATTTTGAAAAATGAGGCTGAAATTTACCACTCTGCAACCAGCCTAAAATTACTCTCACCTTCCCGCACCAAGAGCAGAGCATGAAGAGGTGGGGCTGGCCGCTGCCACCCCACACTGCGGGATGCCTTCACCTCGTCTGTTTTGACTACCTAAAGGCAGCCCCTGAAGGAGACACAAAGAAAAGAGAATAAACAAAAGGACCAGATTCAGGGCACTCTTGTTCTCCAAGTACATGTGGCCAGAGGTCTTTAAATTGTTGGGCACAAACTCCATATGTTAAAAGTAATGATGCCAGCACTGAGTCAAGCACAAAGACAAATGGAATGATTTTCAAACCCTCTCCTGGCCACAGGGAAATTTATTAAGTAGAAAAGAAGACCAGCCAACTTTGCTGCATGGCATTTTTAAGAAAGACATGGGGGCCAGCCCCGTGGCCCAGTGGTTAGGTTTGCATGCTCCACTGTGGCGGCCCAGGGTTTCACTAATTTGGATCCCTGGTGCGGACATCGCACCCACCGCTCATCAGGCCACGTTGAGGCGGCATCCCACATGCCACAACTAGAAGGACCCACAACTAAAATATACAGCTATGTACTGGGGGGATTTGGGGAGAAAAGCAATTAAAAAAAAAAAAAGACAGACATGGGCCCTCAAAATCCCTCCCCTCAAACAACTCCTAAATAAAGTAGGAGTTGCTGGCACACTGAAAGAGTACTCACGAGAGCTACTGCAGTAACTTTAGAGAGGTCAAATGGGGGCCATAACAAAGAGTAGCATTTGAAAGTTTTTCTTGTGCATAAAACTTGTGGAATTTGGAAGTATTTAGATATACTAAGACTTTAGGTGTAATTTTAAAATATTTTAAATAATTATGAAGCTTTATCATTGCCATACCATTGCCTGCATGATCTATTAGTTTCATATAATTTATAAGTTGGAACTCTTAATGAAGAACCAAACTTCTAATTATCATGTATTCATAGAAAAACGTAATGTTTTACCAAAATGTGCTTTACAATATGACAGAGAATGAGTGGGATCTGCCTGTATGGTAACAACCACCTCAACTCCTAAATAGCCAGGAAAGCACAAAATGGTGCCATCTCTGGAAATCATCTGAAACCAAGGCCCTGAACTCAAGCGAAGGGGCCCATGTGTGCACTTCGAGTCCACTCACTTCTGACAGTTAGTCAGGAGAAAACCCTCGAAAATCATCTAGTCCAACTATTTCAGCTAAGCTAAGGAAACTGAGGCCAGGGGCAGAAGTGACATACCAAGTCTACAGAAGCTATTGACCGGGAATAAACTTCCCCACCCCTGGGCGATTAGAAGCAAACATGAGTGGCAGAGATTGGGTGGGGTGTGGCGGTTATACTCATGGCAGTGACAAACGGCAGCAGACGATGGAAGACAAGACAGAAAAACTAAAGAGTTTATTACAAAATGATAATGGATCTTAAGAATAAAACATGAATCTGAGTCATTACAAAAAGGTCTCAATAAACATCTTATTCTCCATTAAAAAAAAGAAGAAGAAGAGAAGTACGTGATATATCTTAACATGGTTTCCATCAAGAATGTTTCACGAAAAACATAGAGCTCTCATTCACAGGGGTCAGCTCCAGGGGTCTGGAAGGTCTACTCCTGTGGCATGCCTTCATGCCCAAGAATGCTAGATAAATGTTATCTACACATCTCATGGACAATAAAGGTAATACTCTGAAGGCTAAAATAACCTGTATACAGATGGCAACTTATCTAAATGACCTGAAATAAAAATGACTGACTGCAAATAAGCCCTCAAAAAAGTACAGGACTTAAGCATTACTAATTACCACTCCCAAGGCCACATGTGTATCAGACAGTATCTTATCACTCTAATGATGCTGTGGGAGTCCAAAGACAGGCAGACGAGGTAGGTAAGAATTTATCACTCCGGAGTGAGGCAACAAGAATGCTAGCTTTACATGAGCTCCATCCCATGGCTGAGTCTTCCCTCCCCTCCCCTGCAGCTCACCTTTACCTCTTAGCAACAGAACAAGAAAGAGATGGCTCTGGGACAAGATACATCTTCCATTTCTAGACTTTAAATTTGTTCTTTGTCATGTTCCTGATACCCCTCTTGCCCCAAGCCTGGCCATCCCTTCCCCAGCACCTCTACAATGAACAGGATTTCTGAATACCCTCCCAAGGTGATCTCATCCCCAAGTGCGGGCGCCTCCAAGCGGACAGACCTAGCTGTTCACATGCGCTTGCTCAGGAGAGCGCCTAGCCCACTGTGCACTCCCCAGTACCCTCGCTGGGGACCCACAGTCACGCTCTGCCTTTACATTCTGTTCTATAATTTTAACTACTTGTATCTCAGCCAGCTTCTTTGCTTCACAGTCGCTTCAAGAATGATTTAGAGGAAAGAACGGGAGCTTTGGCACCAGAAAATACACTGTTGAATCACAGCTCCAGCACCCAGATTGAGCTCTTGGACTGAGAACGAGTCACTTCTCCTCGCTGAGCCTTAGATGCTCAAATGTGAAAGGAGATGGCCGTGCAGAGGAAATGCGCTGATGTCTATAAAGTGCCTGACACATAGTAGGTACTCAGCAGACGCTGGCTTCCTTCCTCTCCCTCTCTCCCTCTCTCCCTGTCTCCCCACTTATAACTGCAGCCTAAGCTTCTCTCTCTTCAGACTATCTTCTCCCGTCTCTACTCGCTGACTTTTCCCCATATGCTTCCTGTTGGCACTAGCTTCTACACCTGAATCACGAAGAGTGTTTGAAAAACCTATATTGAGAAATGTGATTATAGAGCATTGCCAAATTGTGGTTCTTGAAATAGAAATAACAAGACTGCGAAATAGGGCTGTGTGAAGACTGAGGGAACAGAGGCCCTTGGACACTCCCAGCCCTCCCGTCCCTCTTCCTCCTTATTTGTCAGACTTAGCAAATAAAAATGCAGGACGGCCAGTTAAATTTTATTTTCAGATAAACAACAAATATTTTTTTAATACGTCCCAAGCATTGCAGTAGAGAAGGAAAATGCCTCTCTAGCAAAGAAGAAAAGCACTAGAGAGAGGGAAATTAAGACCATGACTCTCAGAGAAAGAGGCGGCTATCCCTTCCACCTGCTGCCACCAGAGAGAGCTTAAAGTTCTCTGACCAAAAGGGAATTCCTGCCAGAGTCCTGACTCAGTGGAGTCCTGGAGTCCAAGAGGCCAAGAAAGTGCCAGGAAGCAAGAGTCAAATAACAGCCACGGTCTTTCAAGTCCATTAAGCGTCAGAGCTGAGTGGAGAGGTGAATGGGTTTTGCAGACTGCAGTTGCCCACGCATCCTCAATGTTTATACAAAATCTGTCCACCAATGCTTGATACGTGAGTTTTATATTTTTCACTCATTCATTTTTTTAACAATTTTGTTTGATAAGCAACTGTATTTTGTATTTTATATAATCCTAAGAACGTTGGAAAAGAGGAGATAAGCTACCCATACTTAAACACAAATGAGTTTTCTCTCAATTGATTTGGATTTGCATTTTCTGTTTTAAAAGAAAAAGGGTGACATAATTACACATGAAAATGCACGTTACTATACAAACTGAAATATCACCTCTTGTCAGGATTATTGCAATAATCTCTCAATTGCCCCTGCTTCCACCAACCCAATCTCTTCTCAACCCAGCAGCCAGAAGGATCCTTCTAAAAACATAAGTCAGATCATGCTCTTCCCTGCTCAAAGTCTTCTGGTGGCTTCCCACTTCTCTCCAAGTAAGAGTAAAAGTCTTTCCCATGGCCTACAAGGTCCAACAGGACCTGTCACTCACTCCTTTTGGCCCCTCTGATGCAACCTCCTCTTGCCTAGCTTACTCAGCTCCAGCCACACTAACCTCTGCCTCCAACACTCTTGCCCAGCATACCCCTATCCTCACTCCCTCGCCAACTTCAAGTCTTTGCTCCCATGCCAACTTCTCCAGGATGCCTTCTCTGGCCACTTTTTCAAATTATGGTCTCCATTCTTGGCATGCCCTATCCCCCTTCTCTGCTACATTTTTCTCCATTCCATCGATCCCCATAAACTTATCACACATGTTACTTAATTGTACATTTTGTGTCTCTCCACACTAGAATATAGGCCAGAAATGTTGACATTTTGTTCACTGTAGCATCCCCAGCATGTAGAACAGTACATGGTACACAGTAGGCACTCAACAAAATTATTTATTGAATGATGAATAGACATAAGGTAAAAATAATGAGGAATTATACTCAGGCAAAATGTCTTTACTGAAAGCTAAACAATGAATAAATGTGGGGTTTTCTTCAAGACTTCCAAGTTGGAAACCAGCTCTTCGCCTGAAGCCCCTCACTTGCTCTCTTCTCCTAATCAGAAAATGATTAAGAGTCAGCAGGGCTTATGATTTTCCTACTTCTGATATTGATATTCATAAATCTAGGAGAGAGCATTCTCACTGTTGGCATTTTATAAATCATAAGATTGGGGAAAAGTACATATTTGCCTGAAGTAACATCCTTTTCAAGTGCTTCCCAAGTCTCCACCCGCAGGCTAAGAACAGTCAAGAAATTCCAGACTAAAGGATAACCTCCTCGTAAAATTTCACCACAACAGGCATTCAATAATGTTTGTTGACTGGCCAAGTTCCCAGCTGTCACCATTTTAACAAAGCTCCAACCGAACGACCTTTAAATGTGAGATGTGTCAAAATCCAAAATGCCAAACAGAATTCTCATTACCTCTCCACGGAATCTCTGATGAGCTGCTGCAAGTCCACCTCCTGCTTCCTCAGGGTTCCAAACGAAGACTGGCTCTCCCTGAGGCCTTTGCCTCCAAAGTTCAGCTTGACCTTCCCCAGTGCCGTCTCAATGGTCCCACTCACATGGTTTTCAAACTTGCCCTCGTATTTCACAAAGTCCGACTCCACGACCACTGGAGGGAACAAGACATGCAAAGGAATCTGATGATGACACGGCTATATCTGTGCCTTAGGTCACCTAGCTTCCTCAGCCTGTGGAGACCCATGGGAAACATGAGGTTTGCACTTAGACTGGAAAGCTGGCAGCCATGCTGTGTGTGTGCGCAAAGGAGAATGGCGCCAGCGTACTGGGTGCTGACTGAGAACATGGCGTGAACAGGTGGTCACAGGCTCTACTGGGTGCTTTTTTGTTTTCTCGTCTTTCAATTCCAATCTATACATATAGACAAGTGCACAAAAAGTATCTGTAGAGTTTATCAAATAATTTTAAAGCAAACATCTATTTAACTACTATCCAGGTGAAGAAATAGAATATTTTAAATGTCCACTTTTCCAGGATGAAGATAGTAAAGGGAACAGGCAAGGATGACACCTAAGCAGAGAGAAAATAGCAGCTCCTGCTCAGGATGCTCATTGGAGTGACCTGCCTTGGTATCTGGCAGGTTGGCCATCTGGACCTGTCCTTAGGCATCTTCCCTTCCCACCCACCAGTCTTAGAGAACATTCCCCCGGCAATCATTACCACCTCCATGCAAAGAATTCCCTTCCCATACTTATCTGTTTCTACCTGACCTCTACCCAGTTATTCAACTCCTTATCATGCAATTCCTTAGCTCTATCTTCCTGATAGTCAGTGGGCAGGCCCTTCCTCCCTCCCTCAAGCTCGATCCTGGAACACACAAGCTCCAGACTCTCTATTCTTCTTTCCTGCCTTCCCAGACACTATGGAAGATGCCACCACCTACCTGGTGTCCCAGCTTCAATCAAGTCCCCTGGGAATTACCATGTTCCTCATCTGGTCATATCCAGGTGATTGCTATCAGATTGTCTTCCAGATCTGCCCTTTGTAGCTGACACTAAAGATAAATATCTGACGATCTCATACCTGAACTGCCAAATTTTTCATGTCTCCAGATTCTTACTGTTCTCATTTTTTTTAAAGATTTTTTATTTTTCCTTTTTCTACTCAAAGCCCCCAGGTACACAGTTGTGTATTTTTAGTTGTGGGTCCTCCTAGTTGTAGCATGTGGGACGCCGCCTCAGCATGGCTTGATGAGCAGTGCCATGTCTGCACCCAGGATTTGAACCAGCAAAACCCTGGGCTGCCAAAGCAAAGCACATGAACTTAACCACTCAGCCACGGGTTCTCATTTTTAATCCAACCAAATACCACCATAAAAATAGTCTCAGTCATCATCATACCATCTACCTTTAGTCTCTTAGGAACTTCACACTTGGCCTTTTCCATTTCCCTCACCCAAGGCCCTCCTGGGTTCCTGGTTGTACTTCCTAAAGGATTCAACACCCTGTCAAGTCTGAAAGGCTTCTTTCCATCCATTCACTGCTCCTAACACCTGTATTTCTTTCACTCCAGTCTAGAAAACCCATTCTTCAAAAAGGGTTAGCAAACCCACAACATGACTAACAATAATGTACAACTGAAATCTCACAAGGTTGTAAACTATCATAATCTTAATAAAAAAAGGGGGGTTAGCAAGAACTAATCACCAATCGTTATTTTTGCAATTTACAAAGTAGGGAATCATTTCTACCACCACCACCAAAAATAAGAAGGCTGTGAAAATGCCCCCAATTCAAAGCCTTTTCCTGTCACATCTCGTGGAATACAAGCACTGTGGGAAACGCTTTGGGAAACGGCATAGAGCAGGTGTTAAGAGCTCAAGATTTTATCACTACCCTAATATTCCTAGCAGGGAGAACTTACCTAACATTCATCTTCCTGAACCTCAGGCTTGTCATATGTAATTTGGAGATAATTAATAATACCTACCTTATGGGTTCTGTTACAAGCTGATGTATGTACAGTGTGTAATACAGAGCCTGGCACACAGCAAGTGCTCCATCTACCCACTGGGTTTAGGCCAGAGCAACGGCATTTTCTGATAAACAGGACAGTCCTAGGTTGTACAAAGTGCTACAGACAGAAATTCTATCTTCAGGTCACAGTTCTCTTCTTGATGAGGCTCATTACCACTCCTGGAAACTCTGTCCCCAAGACTGGATGGACCCCATAGCAGGGGGAGACAATCAAGACTGTTTGTATATTACAAAAAGCCACTTTAGACACACCTCCAAAAAAGATGTCATTTGTGTACACTTTTGCATCATGAACTGCTGCTGGTGGAAGGGAGAAAGTGAGGAAACCAGCAGGCTGTCACTGGGACTGCCAACCACCAAGTCACCCTCCAACCTTCACAGCCCTGGGCAACACAGACGCTCCCGCGTTGTTGCAAATGGCAAAAAAATTAACAAAAGTGAAGCATCCTGAGTCTGCTCAGCAGACAAAGTAGAGGACACGTCTTATCACAGCCCTCACACCAGCGGGACACAGAACCAGGGGTGAGCCCTGGCCTCAGATGAGGAGCATATTTGGGACTTCTCCATCTGCAGTGACTACAACTGGCCTCACCCACCTAACGCACATCTTCATGATCTTTCAGGACACCACAAAACAGGCACTTCAACAGCACAGAGCAGTGAAATTCCAGCTACTCAGGGTTCCATGGTCTATTCTGTGAATTTTTTCTCTTGCCCCTGCTCATATTTAATTATTTCACAACTCCATAGAAGTTCTACCAGAAATCCAGGGGGGAAAAAATGAAATAAAATTGATATCAACTCATTTGCACATTGCTTAACAGCTCTGACAATGAGCCCGGCTGAAGAAAGCACAGGCTTGAATGCTGATCTGGAAGAAAGTTTAGAGATTACTTGGCAACTCAAGTTATCTCCTCTCTCTCTTTTCCTCTTTAATAAAGATGTAGTCACTAAATTAGAGAACTTTAGAGCTGAAAGAGGACTCAGACATCATTTAGCCCAATAATTAAGAGCTGACGATGCTTTCATATATCACCATGTTCCAAAAAGTAGTGTAGTAATGAGTACCAAAAGTCTTCAAAAAGTTCCCAACCTCTGGTCCAGTGTTACTATCTTTAAGAATCTATGCTGAGGCAATTGCTTAAAGGAAAAACAAAAACAACAATAAAAATTCAGACAAAAATGTTCATTGTAGCCTTAATTATTATGCACTACATTGAAATGGTTAAGCAAATTAAGGTGCATACATGCAAAGGAATATTATGTGTTTGTTGAAAACAGTATTAAAAAATATTTAAACCTATGAAGAAAAACTTAGATAAGGGTAAATAAAAAAAAAAAGGAATATATAAAAATTATATATAGATTTTTCAAATTTTGTTTTTAAAAAAACCTGATGCAGAGAAAAAAAAAGACCATAATCCCAGTATTAACAGGAACACTTGATGGTGGAATTTTTGTTGATTTATTTTCTTCATGCCTTTCTATATTTTATAAATATTCTTCTGTAAGAATGAGTCTAACTCCATTTTTGATGTTTGACTGCTGACAGCTTTCAAGCCCACCACTTCCTCTTCCCTGTGAGACATCTGAGTAAGCTCGTAAGAAAGCTCAAGTGCTCCCTCCATTGGTACCGGCAGGAAGTTCAAACCTCGCAGGCCCCAACCCACATTGTAGAATGATGCTCACCCCACCTCCTAAACACAGTAAAAACTAAACCCATCTCCTTACCCCTCCTTCTCTCTAGCTAATTTTTGGACCAGGGTGGGAACCTACCCTGCTCTCCCCAGAAAGCTTCACTATGTGAGTAAATACAACTTTTCACAACCCCCTGATGGATACATGGCCTGACCAACCTCAACACCAAACCAAATTTTGCGTACCAGATCCATCCCACTTACGCTGACTGGACACAACACCTACGATGGGCATGTCTTACTTTTAGACCAAAAACTGCAATATTAATTTTTAAAGATTAAGCTATAACTTTTCACGTTAGGCCTACAGAATCTCGTTCATTTTAAGAAAGGACATGTTTTTAAGACAGTAGACAAATAAACAGGAGAATTCATTATAAGATAGCTCCTTATAATCACTCAAGACAACACATGTCTAGAAGAAGAATCACCTTGTGTCCTGGGACTAAGTGTAGAAGATACCCAAGGAAACATACCTGGACTCAGACACTGGGCTTCTGTGAGTACGTCTCCAAGGGTGACAGATAAAAACTGGTACTTGGGTCTCTGCCAGCACCAGAATCTCTTTTTTTTGGTCACCAGACTTAGAAGTTGAGACTTATCAGAGTCATTCAAGTTTGATACTGCAATCAGGTCACCTTCAGCATCGACTTCTCTAAGAAAACTTCTTGTTGCTTTGGCAAACATTTTGAGAGCTCTAGATTACCTGAAAAAAAAACAAAGTTACCCCCCAAATTAAAGAAGAAATCATTATTTCATGGCTTTTTTTCTAAAATTATTCTTATTTCTCCCTAGCATCAATCAGTATGTGTGAAGGAATACCTCTCCCTAGAAAAGCCTCTAGTTTGAGTTCAGTTGATATCAAGGAAATCAAATTTATATACTGAAAGAGACTATAACTGAGGATAGTCTAGGTTATGCTTCAGAAACAGATAACCTCCAAATCTCAGTGGCTTGTAACAATAAATGTTATTTCTTCATCACGCCACATGCCCAATAGAGGCCAGGAGAGCTTTGCTCATCATGGTCATTCAGGGATCCAGACTGAAGGGGCAGCCACCATCTGGAACATTGTCAGCCATCATCCAACAGGAAAGAGAGTTCTGGAAAGTGTCACACTAGCAATTAAATGCTCTGGCCCCAAAACAAAAGACCCCGAATTGCTAAGGCAATCCTGAGAAAAAAGAACAAAGCTGCAGGCATCACAATCCCTGACTTCAAAACATACTACAAAGCTACAGTAATCAAAATAGCATGGTACCGGTACAAAAACAGGTGCACAGATCAATGGAACAGAATTGAAAGCCCAGAAATAAAACCACACATCTATGGACAGCTTATCTTTGACAAAGGAGCTGAGGGCATACAATGGAGGAAAGAAAGTCTCTTCAACAAATGGTGCTGGGAAAACTGGAAAGCCACATGTAAAAGAATGAAAATTGACCATTCTTTTTCACTATTCAGCAAAATAAACTCAAAATGGATCAAAGACCTAAAGATTAGACCTGAAACAATAAGTCTTCTAGAAGAGAATATAGGCAGTACACTCTTTGACATCAGTATCAAAAGGATCTTTTCGGACACCATATCTCCTCAGATGAGGGAAACAATAGAAGAATAAAGAAATGGGACTTCATCAGACTAAAGAGCATGTTCAACGCAAAGGAAAACAGGATTGAAACAAAAAAACAACCCACTAGTTGGGAAAAAAATATTTACAAGTTATTTATCTGACAAAGGGTTAATCTCCATAATATACAAAGAACTCACACAGCTCAACAACAAAAAATCAAACAACCCAATCAAAAAATGGGCAGGGTACATGAACAGACATTTCTCCAAAGGAGATATACGGATGGCCAATAGACACATGAAAAGATGCTCATCATCACTAATCATGAGGGAAATGCAAATCAAAACTACACTAAGAAATCACCTTACACCTGTTAGAATGGCAAAACTAACCAAAACAAAAAGTGACAAATGTTGGAGAGGTTGTGGAGAAAAATGAACCCTCACACACTGTTGGTGGGAATGCAAACTGGTACAGCCACTATGGAAAACAGTACGGAGATTTCTCAAAAAATTAAAAATAGAAATACCATATGACCCAGCCATCCCACTACTGGGTATCTATCCAAAAAACTTGAAATCAGCAATTCCAAAAGTCCCATGCACCCCTATGTTCATCGCAGCATTATTTATAATAGCCAAGACATGGAAGCAACCTAAGTGCCCATCAACTGATTATTGGATAAAGAAGATATGGTATATATATACAATGGAATACTACTCACCCATAAAAAAGAATAAAATTGTCCCATTCACAACAACATGGATGGACCTTGAGGGTATTATGTTAAGTGAAATAAGCCAGATAGAGAAAAAACGAACTCTGTATGACTCCACTCATAGGTGGAAGTTAAACCTATAGACAAAGAGAACTGATTGGTGGTTACCAGGGGAAAGGGGGGGATGGGGCAGAGGGCACAGAGGGTGAAGTGGTGCACCTACGGCATGACTGACAATAATGTACAACTGAAATTTCACAAGGCTGTAAACTATCATAATCTTAATAAAAAGTTAAAAAAAAAAAATGCTCTGGCTCCAAACTAACAAACATCATGTCCACCCACAGTTTGTCAGAACTAGTCACAGGGCCTCAGCCAATCAGAATGGTCAGGAAATACTATCCCACCAGGTATCTGGATACACACGCTGACTGCCGCAACCTGTATCTTACTTATGACCACTTCTCTGACGGGTCAAATACGATTTTTCTCTACACTGTGTGATTTCCCCTATTCATAAATGAGAAGTAACTGGCTGTTACTTTTTAACCCAGAAATGAAGGCACAGTCATTCTTCAGCCAGAGGGAAAAAGAAGAAAGAGACACATCGGAAGATATAAAAGTACTGTATTCAGTGGAAGAAGCATTGACTCCTGAATAAAAGGTGTTAGAACAACTGGCCGATGGTGTGGGAACAATACAGTCAGATCCCTATCTCATGCCAAACACAACAGCAAATCCTCAATGGGCTAGAGGAGTTTTTGAGGAAAAAGGAAACCATAAAAGTACTGTAAAAAAATAGGCAAATATTTGTACAATTGTAGGATGAGAAAGGCCTTTTTTTTTTAAAGATGGGCACCTGAACTAACAACTTGTCAATCTTTTTTTTTTTTCCTTTTTCTCCCCAAATCCCCCCAGTACATAGTTGTATATGTTAGTTGTGGGTCCTTCTAGTTGTGGCATGTGGGACACCACCTCAGCGTGGCCTGATGAGCGGGGCCATGTCCGCAACAGGGATCCGAACCGGCGAAACCCTGGGCCACCTAAGCGGAGCGCATGAACTTAACCACTCGGCCACAGGGCCGGCCCAAGAAAGGCCTTTACAAAGGCGAACGGCAAATTGAGAAAATACTTGTAATATTTATAACAAAGAACTAGCATACTTAATATATAAAAAATCTTTAACAAATCAAGTTTTTAAAATACTGTAGTAGAAACATGAGTAAAGGTTATAAACAATTCAGAATACATAAACTGCACATAGCCAAATAGATATATATGCATGAATATATACATATGCATACACACACACATAAAATCATTATTACTCCAAAAAAAAGCACAAATAGAAATAAGATTTTTTTCAACTATCCACAGTCAAAGGTTAAAATGTCTAATGGGTAAGAACTGTGTTTTGTTTGTATTTGTACCCTGGTGTCTGGCAGTCACTTGGATAACAAAATCATAGAATTTGAGAGCTGAGAGTAACCCTGTATGTTAACTAGTTCAATCCACTTTCTTTAACATGAATCTCCTCTAGGCATCAGAAAACATTTGTCTTACCTATCACTAGTTCTTCTCTAAACTACCTTTTCTTAGATTCTTGTGTAGCTACCTAACCCTGTCCTTGTAGATTAACAATAGAATGAACATTCAAGGGAGTGATTCCAAAACATTCAAAAAGTTCCTTTCGGATAAACAGTGAACTGCAAAGAAGGAAAACTGATTACGCTCAGCCTCTCATCTCTAACTAATCTCTCACCACACTACACATAAGGATCTTGCATGCAATGGAGCACTCATTTATCCATTTATCAAAACATTTCTTGCATCATTCATTAATTATTCTTAAGTGCCCAATATACCCAGGTACCATGTTTAAGCACTTAGGATACAGAGACAAAAAGTAGTCTCTCTCCTTAAGGAGCTACTGATTTGGTGGCCAGATGGAGAAATAAACAGCTAAGTTTTATTGTAGATATTGACACAGTTTGCTACAAGGAATGAACCAAGTAAAAGGCACCTAAATCAACTGGAGAGAAGCACAGGGTCCCAGAAGTCGTCCTGAAGTACACGGCATCCAAGCTGCATTTTGTGGGCGCAGTAGAAGCAAGCAGGCAAAGGAGCAGCAATCACAAAAGCCCAGCATTTGCAGGAGGTAGTGGAGGGCTAGGGAAGATTATGCAAGGCAAGATCTGTGACGAGTAGGCTCGTGATGTCCAGGGGACATCACTCTGTGTTGAGATGCCATTACCACTTCCTTGACAGATCTGTGGAATTGCTTTTCAAGGTCTGGGATTGGTTCCTGCACTGGAGTGCAGGGTTCTAGGGTGAGGAAGGGCAAGTGACAAGGATGAGGAGGCCTCAGTCCAGGTCCTGAAGGTCCGTGCCTCCCCTGCTTGGGGGCCAGTGCAGCAGGAGCCATTGGAGGGGTTGTGTAGGGAGCAATGTGATCAAAGCAGTCACTTAGAAAGATCTTCTGAAAGCAAAACAGGAAACCAGCTGGAAGTGGACAAGATTAGAGGCAGACAACAAAGGATGATGCTGACCTGTGTTGGTAGCATAAGGATAGAAAAGAGGCTGGTTTGATGGTTTCCTCAGAACTCCGGTTGTTGGAGGTGAGGGTGGTGATGAAACAAGACACTCCCTAGGATGGCCTCCAGGTATCTCAGGTTAGCTATTGAGATGGAGACGCCAGTCACCAAGAGGGAATTCGGGAATTTGGGAGGATGGAGGAAGCACACTGGTGGGGAATGTAAGACAGTGACTGCTGAGAGTGTGTCTAGGATAAAGTGCAAGATTTATTTTGCCTAACAGAGGAAAACAACTTTTAACAAAATAAAGTCTCCTCAATGACCTGTAGGAATTCACCCTGCTTGTCCAAGAAAAGAGCAGCAGCAGAATCTGCCTCGGTTTACCATTGGGGTCAGGATCTCCGTTTTTTATGGTTTCTGTTCTTTTCTGCGACAAACTGAAAGGGGCATCACTAACTTGCCTTCAGATTAAACACGTTTCTAAAGAAGCCAAATCAGCCTGGCCATTAAAAAACAAAACAAAACATAACAAAACATAACAAAACCCATCTGCTGTGGGCGGCACAGCCTTAGCAATGACATCAATCCTCCCCAGAGGGATTAAAGAATGAAGAAAGGAAACATCTAAGTTAATTTTTCATGTTTTTTTTTCAATCTAACATCAAACACAGCCAATTTGCCTCCTTGACAAGGTAGGTTGCTTTAGGAAGAGTTAACGGAGGGTGGCTTCGCGTTGTAGGTCTTTATTAGAATCAGGCTTATTCAATCGAGGAACTCTTTGAGAATATTCTCCTCATGAAGCTAAAATTAGAGGTTTCCTTTTTATTGTTATGTTTGAATACATAATACATTTAAATGGCTCAAGTATCTAGACTATGTAAAAAAATATACACCAAGAAATCCATTCCTACTCAGGTCCCATCTACCCTTTCACCTCTCTCTCCTTCGATATATTATCTTCATGTTTCCTTATACAAATATAAGTAAAAAGGGGTCTGCACACTGTTCTGCACCTTGCTTTTTGTCTTGGAACAATAGATCCTGGAGATCTTTCCATGTTAGTGCCTTTTTCTTTACAGCGGCATAATACTCCATCATGTGGATGTACCATTGTCTATTTAACCTGTCCTGTATTGCCGATCACTTGGGTTATTTCTAAATTTTGGTTATTATAAAAATGCCACACGAAATACTCCTGATTGTATGTCTTCTTCACACATAGGCAAGAGTCCTCGAAGGGAGATTTCTAGAAGATCAATTAGATTAGATCAATGGGTAAAACCATCTATAATTTATAGGTTGTACCATTTTTCAATCTCGCCAATAAGGTATGAAAGTATCAGGCTCAGCAACAGAGTGTGTTATAAACTTTTGTATTTCTGTCAGTCTCATAGGTGAGAAACAGTATCTCAGTATAGTTCTAGATTATGTTATTTTAATATAAATGACACCAAGCACGGTTTTTTTATGTTTCTTTTTCTCAACCATTTGTGTCCTTGGCCCATTTTCTATTGTTTCTTTTTTCCCCCTTTATTCCTGGGAACTTTCCATATAAGTAGAGATCAGACAAAATATAGACTAGAAATTTAACACAATAAAGTTTAGCATGTGGCATTGGGAGACAATAATCTGCCATACCATTCTCTAACATCTCAAGTAACTGTCTAGCCAGGAAAGATTAAACAATATGCCCAGGGTCAACTGAAGGATCTACAACCAAATTGCCTAATACAGACAAGTACAATAATGGCTCAATTAACCAGATGTCACACTTCAGATTCAAATTTCCAAAACACTCCAACCTGGAAGTAGATACAAATGGTCTCATGAAAGGTCTAGCTCAAAATGCTCACAGCCTAAAAACGCACTGCCTTTCACAGCTGTGCCACAGATCCTGGGCTCTCACGCAGGGCCTTAGGAATTCTATTAGCAAACAGTCCCTGTTCACCAGCCCACGTGGCTTCCCAGCTCCAAGTAGGTTAGAACTCAGAGAGCCAAAGAGAATGAGGTGAGGATATGCAAGCTTGAATCAGACTCCCAGGCAAGAAACTGCAAAGGAAGAGACCGAGAAAACAAGACAACAACACAAAGTCAGAAAAGCACACGGCCAACTGGGGCCACTGGCTGCTGGGAACAAAGAATCCTAAAAATTGTTGCCAAGGTAATGATCACATGAGAAGATACTATAATCACTCGTGGCCATTCTTAAAACTGGTTCAGAGTTAGAGAATGATCAAACTTTGAGTTGGAAAGGACCCAGTGCTTCCTCATACCCAATTCCAGATTCTTCTCCGGAACAGCTCCAGTTGATCACTGGGCCTCTGCCTGAGTAGTTCTAGGAGAGAAACCTCAACATCAAAATACAGCAGCTAAAGGGAGGGGCAGCTGTATGCTGAGTACCTGCTTTGTGCCAGGCATTGGGCAAACTTCTTTCTATGCATTTCCTCATTTAATCTTCACAACAACCCTGAGTAGACACTGTCCACATTTTACAGATGTGGAAAATGAAGTTCAAAGATGTTAGGTAACTTGCCCCAGATCACAAGAAAAAAAGCAGCAGCCCAGACATCGAGAGCAGGCCTGGTACCACCAGCTAGCCCTGGTGTGGCTAGCACTGGCCTGGCATTCTCACGTTGAACATGAACAATGCCACAGAACATCAACATCAGGCAAGACCACTCTGTGGTCACAACAAATCAAGACAAAAGCAAGACCTCTCACAATCTTGTCTGACCACAAACAAAAAAGGAACATGGTCCAAACCACAGAAACAACCAAACACCCCCAACTACCACCACCAACTCTGGCTAATGAGGGACTGCTGCGTCTTGGCCAACCACAGCTTTAGCCTCACTCTAGCCTGCCTTCCTTTCAGACAAGACTTATGAAGACACTCAATAGGATTTCTCCCACTTTCCGATAGCATCCAAACCAGGGCAAAGTCCTATTTCCCTAATCTGACCCCCAAATTGCCTAAAAACCCAAATCCTACAACTCCTTTCTAACACCCACTTACTGAGACGTCCCATGGTTCCCCACGGTGGGAGGTCTCCCTCACACAAGCCACAAACCCAACTTGTTCAACTCTAAGTGTGCTCCTGGAGTCTCTCACGGGTGGGCACTGAGTGTCACAGACAGAACGAGTGCCAAGCCCAGATTCCAACCGAGGTCCACCTGCCTTCCAAGCCTGAGCCCTTGACCACCCTCATGCTGACTCCTCGGTCAGCTTTTTTTTTAATCTGGGTACATATAATTTGTTTGGCACAGTAAGAAAGTGTGCTCCAAAGGGTCAACTTCAGTTCTGGTGGAAATCACGGCAATGCAACACGTTATTTCCCCACTATCTAGGGAAATGAGACATCGCTGAACTTGTCTCAAGTTAACAACTTCAGCACATTTCGAATTATTTTTAGTTTTCTAAATAACAAACTGAAATTGAGTCTGTTAAGTTAAAACAGAGGTGTCACCCTTTTATATCTTCCAGTGCTTACATCCCAGGACTTGAGCTCCTTTTTATAATAGGAAGACAAATTAAATGCAAGGTACTCTACCATTTCTTTCTAAAATAATCAGTATGCGAAATAAAAAACAAATGATGGTCACAAGACAGGCATGAGCTTGAAAAAGGAGCCAGGGTGAGGCAGCACAGGATTTTGGGAAGTGGAGTAGATAAGAAGAGAGATTGATTAAGAATAGAGAAGACTCTTCTGGTCCCTTGAGGGTTCAAAAAGAACAGAAAGAAAAGCGCTTCTGGAAAATACAAAGCTTCCTCCTAAGGCCGGCAAGCTAAGGGCCAGCAGCCTGGAGCGGCCGTGTTTCTCAGATCTCTCTGGCTCTCTGGGCTCAGCCACTCCCGGCTGTTCTCCTTTACAAGAAGAGCTCGTTGGCGGTGAATTTTGAAAACGATTAATTGACTCTATAGTTATTCAGCGGCTTCTCTGACCTCACAGCACTTCTCTCACTCCACTCTAACGCCGCCGTCTGTCTGTCTGTCTTTCTCCTCTTGAGGGCAGCGATCCCAAGACACCCATCCCTTTCACCACCCTATTCACTGCTTTGAAGAGAGCAGGCTCTGATTAGCGATTTTTTTCAAACACTCTACAACAAACGCCTTGCCACGGGCTGCCCGCTCGTCTTGCCCTCTCAGGTGCAGATGGGAAACCGGCTTCTGACACGGGGTCCGCACGTGAAGGCCCAAGGAAGCCACTGGAGCCGCTGTGATGTCATCCCACCCCAGGCCGAGAACACCCAGCGGGCTTGGTCTCCTCCCCAAGCTCGGGGCGCAGTGTCCCGGCCCCAGGCCGAGAGGGACTCGTTGCGGTCCAGACACTGATGCAGGTCTGCTCCAGCCTTCGGTTCCCGCGACCCCGCGCCCCTCGTCCGCACCCCGCCGGGCAAGCCTTGGCACACCCAGCGAGGAACTGGAAGACAAAGGAGAGAGGAGCGGGCAGGTGGTGGTGAGGGGGGAGCCGGGAGGTCCCAGCGGCCCTGCGACAGCGGGGGAGGGGGTGGAGGGAGGATGGGGAGTGGGGAGGGGGAAAGCTGTCCAGCTGCGGGCAGCGGGCCGATTCGTCTCCCTTGGGGGACAGAGGGGAGGGTGTCCAGACTCGCCCCCCACGGCCGGCCGCCCGCCCCGGGAAAGGCAGGAGCGGAGCGGAGCCCGCGGCCGCCTGCACTTACCTCCGGGGCCACTCAGCCCCGCGCCGCGCCGACCGCAGTCGTAGGAGCCCCGCGGGCCGGGCCGGGCCGGGCCGGGCGGGGCGGGGCGGGGCGGGGGCTCGGAGGGAGGGGCGGGGGCTCGGAGGGAGGGGCGCGGCCCGGCGGGACCTTTGCTCGGTTCCCGCCCTTGGAGCCGCGGGCTGGGGGTGCTGCTGGGCGGGGGCCGAGGCGGGCCGAGCACGGCTGGCTGTCCCGAGACCTGCCCGGAGGCCCAGGGGGAGCTGGTGCCCTTTCTTCGTGTGTCTCCTCCGGAGGGGGGCGCTTACGCCCCAGGGCTCGCCTTGGCCAAAGTCCCCGCGCGCTTTCCAGGATGCGCGGCCTGGGGCGCCCCGGGACAGGTTGGGGTCTCACCGGGGGAGCGAGCTCGGCCGTCCCGCAGAGGCCTCGCCTCCCGCCCGCGGTGCAGGGGGCCTTGCGAGCTGCGCCTCGAGGCGGGCGGGACCCGCCACCAGCAGTGGGGCGTGGACCGGCACGTGGCTTCGCGGTCGCTCTGGGGAAGTCCGAGGCCGCTCTAGCCTGTGAGATCCCCTGATTGCGTGCCCGGGAGTGTCCAGATTTGTGGTGTGACTGTGCCCACACTGAGTCCTGACGCTTGTTAATAATTCATGTAACTATATCCTAAGCTCCTTGAGGGTAGACCCCAGCATCCCTCACACACTAGGTGCTCAGTTAATGCCGAATGAGCGAATCTGAGAATAGGTGGTGCTCCAAAATTGCTTGTTGATTGACCGACTTGAACATTATACCCTTTCAGTGAGGATTTATGGATTATCTTCTCTGAGCAGTGCTCTCTGCTAGGCTGAGAGCAATGAACAAGAGAAAATGAAATTTCTGCCCTGGGAGAACTCAGGCTTATTGAGTTTGCTGCTGCCTTCACGGTGGCAAAGAGGCAGGCTTTCCATTGGGCCCCCATATGCCTTGGGCATCTTCCTAGACTGCAGTAACCCTGCCTCCTTGTGCTTAACTCAGTAAAGGCTTGCCTAACTACTCCAATGGAAAGTACAGCCAGTCCACCAACCCACAGGAACACTTCTATGCACTGATCAGCATCTGACAGACTACACATCATACTCATCTCATGCATTATCTTTCTCTTCCCTGGAATGCCAGTTCCATGAAGGCAGGGACTTCTGTCCATTCTGTTCACTATACGCAGCACCTAGCATAGTACCAGACGCGTGGTAGACAGTCAGTAAATCATGGTTGAATTAATTCATGCCTCCTCTTGTTTGTTTCTCCAACTAGATTGTGGGGTCTTACTGTCTTGCAGTGCCTGGCAGGAGGTAGGCGCACAATTAATGGTTGTTAGATGAATGAGTGAACAGAAATGGTCGAGAGCGGTGGTCCTTTTTGAGTCCCCTGCCTTGCCAAAGTGATTGGGTATTGGAAGAAAGAAAAAAATCACTGTCCTGGCCCTGTCGAAAGACTTTTCATCTATGTTATTGGTTCTCTGTCTTCATAAAACCATATAGTGATGACTCTGGCTTGTTATCAGAGATTATTGCCTCCTGACCCAGGGCATTAACCTTAAGAACATCCTCATAAATAGCATGTTCATGAAATTCCCACCAGCAAGCCCCAGCCCTCTGTTTAGATAGGTTACCACTTGTCATTGAGAGGGCGTGAGCTCTTTGTTGCAACAGTTAGTGGCTTCAAATTCTTTCACTCTTTTTGTTTTGTCCAGTGCCTTTCAATTAAATGCCCCAGCAAGACAGTCATAAGATTAGCAGCTAATATTTATATAGCACTTTCCATTTGCTGCCACCAAGCATTACATGCATTGATGGACTCATTTAATCCTCACAGCAACCGGTTGGAAGGTCCAAGTTACAAGTGAGTGAACTGAGGCACAGGCTGGATAGTCCACCCAACTTGGAAGAGACGGAGCCAAGATTTAAACCCAGATGATTTGACACCATCTGAGCTTTTAAAACCACTACGTCATACAGGCTCTTCAGAACAGAAAATAGGAAGCACAATAAGAGTCACCCCACCAAGCAGTGTTTGAACACACCATGTGTGTTGGGAGGGAGGATGAATTGTGTTTAAGGAGATCCCCTCCACTCCCCTCGCCTTCTCCACGGCCACTCTCCCTGTCCATGGTGGGGGAATCCGCAGGATTCTGGCACAGCCCTCACTGAGAGTCTCCACTTTTCTGTTGTATTTTTGAACAGTTGTGCTTATTATTATCAAAATATTTGAAAATTTCAGATGGACAAATACAAGTTGGGAACTTTTAGCCCAACTAGAAAAAAAATCAATTAAAAGAAAACATGCACACCCAGTCGTCTCAAGCCACTGTAGATATATTCCCTTTAAGAAAATGGAGCTGTATGGAAACAGAATTTTGCAGGAGATAAATTGTGGTGGTCATGATGATGGCAAGTATTTGCTTTTAAAGAGATACATTATGTAAACTATGTTTCAAGTTATAGAACTCCCGAAACACATCTATGCGGTCTTGGCTATTCCCTCCGCTATCCCCAGATCCTTACTGAGTAAACAACTTGCAAAGGTCAGCAAAACTTGCTAAAATTCATTAATGGGGTGTGTTTCATAAATGAACATTTTAACGAATCAGCTCTGCATGGCTGCCATAACTACTGCCTAGTTTTTCGTGAGCCACTTGTGAAGGCACCCAACTCTTAGATGACTAGCCTCTACACAGGAGAAGGAACAATTCAGGCTTTGGAGTCAGATGCAGTTCAAATCCAGCCTATAACTTACCAGCTGAGTGACCTTAGGCGAATTTTTATTCCCATTTAAAAATTACTTACAGTGTTGTCACGAGATTAAAGGAGAGATGTATAAAAAGCAATCAGCACATAGTAGGCTCTCAATAAAAGTTAGTTTCTTTTCCTTCATTAATCACTTTTCAGTTAATGCCACTTTGAAATTGAACCTACAATTTTTTCACCTCTGTATAATTTTGTCTTTTACCATATTGACTGCTTCCCAGAGGAACATAGCTACTAACATAAATTAAAATAAAATTTGGCATCCATTGATATATATCTTTAAACCAACTTAATTTGCCTCACTGAATCCCAAAAGGGTTTTTTAATTGGAGTCCGTATTGCCAATGCATATTACCAACTACCAACTAACATTTTAAACTGAAAAGCTTTATGGAGGGTTAAATATGGCCCAGAATTAACAGCCTGTTTCTTTCATCATCCCACCCATCTCTTGTTCAATTGCAAGGAACAGACACAGACAGGAGAAGAACTGAAATTTGCTGGTTGGTCCGCAAATGATTGCCCAAAACTGTCAAAATTAAAAGTCACAATGCAAATATTATTGGACAAATGAGGAAATGAAGTCATTTGTTGTTCCAATTATCATTTACTGCACAACAAACTACCTTAAAATGTAGTGGCTTAAAACAACAACCATTTTTATTATAAATGACGACTTTGCAGATCAGGACTTCAGGCAGGACTCAGCTGAATGATTCTTCAGTTCCCTGTGGCATTGACTGGGGTCACTCAGTGGAATTTAGCTAGTGAATGGCCTAATCTGGAGGGTCCAGCATGGCTTCACCCACGTGTCTAAGGCCTTGGCAGCAACGGCTGGAAGGCAGTGCTCAGCTGGGGTTGCCAACCAGACCACCTACATGTGGCCTCTTGTCATGGTGGTCTCAGGGAAGTCAGACTTCTTATATGGAAGCTCAGGGTTCCAAAAGTGGATGTTCCAAGAAAACAAGGCAGAAGCTATGAGTCTTATGACTTAGCCCCTGAAGCCCAGAAGGAACTTCTACCCCATTCTATTGTTGAAGCAAACCCAGATTCAGAGAGCAGGGAAATACGCTCAATGGGAAAGATAGCAAAGAATTTCCAGACATCTTCAATCTGTCACACTTGTTTTTATGAAAGAATGGCATTAAATAAACAAAGTTAATAAAAACTCCTGTATTTTTTGTCCATCGTTGATATAAAGTCATATATCATTGTCAGCATTAAGGAGGTTTGCAGTGAAGACCAGTAGTCATCCACCAGTTGTCAGGTTTATAGAAACATTCAAGAGAAATACAATTCTGAGCTGTCCGAGCTTTTCTCACCCCATTATCATTATTCTTCAAGACTGCCCAGCATCCAAGTTCGCTATACCCAGCACAGAGAAAGGCAAAGTCCATGTGTCCAACATTTTGTTAATTTAACAAATACTTATTAAAGACTTACTAGGTACCAAGCACTATATTAGATACTGGGGATATAATGGTGAGTGAGGGAAGTGTAGTCCATGCCCTCATGGGTCTTGGGAGTATATCTGGGAAGGCAGACGGATAAACAATAAGGATCAAGAGTGAGAAGTTCAATGATCAGGTGCCATGGGAAGGCTTGGCTGGAGCATCTAATATGGTGGAAAAGGAAAGGTATGTGGTCCAATAAAGTCAGTTAGGGCAAGCTACCTGCTAAGACAAATAAACCTCCCAATGATAATGGCTCTAACATAAGAGCAGCTCATTTTTTCTCAGTAAACAAAGGAAGGTAGTTCCAGGGTGTGAGAGCTGGGGATGGAGGAGGGTATTCTCTGTTCCTTCAGAACTCAGCTGGTGGAAGGTCTGCCATTTTCAACCGAAGGCTGCCACGGTTGCCTGAGCATGGACGTCTCCAGCAGACAGAGAAGGAGAGAACCTGGAGGCTCTCTCATGGGAGATTTTTCATGGACCTGGCACTTTTCTGTACCTTCGTTTGGCCAGAAATCAGTCACATGGTCTCCCTAATCACAAGGGAAGCTGGAAAATGTAGTCTTTGTGCCCAGGAAAAAAGAGGAAATGGGTTTCCAGGAGAGTAGCAGGCTCATCTTCAAAATGCTTATAGAGGACAAAGCAGGTATTAGCCAAGCTCAGAGCTTTTATAAAGAATCCCAACTGGGTCAACCCAGACAGCTAATCTGTTTTCAAATAATTTATTTTTGGGTTATATAACACATACTATGAAAAAATTAAACCTTTCTTGATCCTACCCCTGATTTAAAGGA